AAAACATCATCTCACGCTCTCAGTCCCAGCGGATAAAAATCAACACCTAAGAGTTTGTAACTGTATATATGTTGCAGGCACTTTAGAAAATCAGTCATTTTGTAAAATGCCTAGGCATTTTACAAAAAGACGGCTGTTTGAAAAATGACTGAACGCAACCAGGCTTTTTTCAAAATGGCTAGCCATTTTACAAAATGACTAGGCATTTTGCAAAATGCCTGACCAGCATGGAACGTAGATCCCACTACAGATACTATGGCCAACAGTTTTTGGACGTCTTCCTATACCCTATAGGTACGTGTTCAGCCTGTAGCTGATCGATTTGAAGCTCTGTGATGACGACAATGCTGAGTAACGACCAGGTTGAGTTGCAGACTCGGCTGTAGCATAATTATAAAGCATTGTTTAGTTAACGCTGTAAAAAATCCCAAGTACATCAACGCCGTTCATGTTCTGCCTGAAACTAGACCTAACAAAACCAGCCGGAGACCGGCCCTAGTCAATAGGCAGGCCCGGTTGATGTACAATTACATGTAAACGAATGAGTGTAGTCTTTGTTTGATTGTGCCATTACGGACAAAACTGCATTATGTATTTGGACATTAAAAACACGTTCGAATTTAATTATAATTTCCCACTCCTTCTCTCTCATCCTCACATTTTAAGAAACATCGTCGCTGTCAGTTCTATTTATTATTGCAGTGCGTACTGCGATGGCACCGGCTGCTGCACGTTAGGCGGCCATGCTTCCTGCACGTACAGCGTGCTGTGCACATCTTCCTGCATGAGCACTTCAAAAATCCCTCTAATAGTTTTACAGATACAGGCCGGCATAGGGCCAGTCGTTTGTTGACGCTCCAGATCGATCATTTTAAATCCAGCAGCGTAGCTGACGTGGGGGTTGGAAATGTCGCGGGCCTGCACTTCTCAAAATAGAGGTAGGTATGGACTTCCCACTGCTGGACTCCTCTGGTCATAATGCTGGACTCCTCGGTCCACCTACACGCTACCAAAACGTATATAATTAGGTACTCGTATCTACAACACGCTGCTCAGTCATTTTGTAAAATGGCTAGGTATTTTGTAAAATGCCTAGGCATTTTGCAAAATGACTGGAGAGTCAGTCATTTCGTAAAATGCCTAGGCTTTTTGCAAAAAGCCTGGAAAATCAGGCATTTTGCAAAATGCCTAGGCATTTTACAAAATGACTGATTTTCTAAAGTGCCTGCAACATATATAAAATGTAAGTCTCGAAATTGCGATATCTTTGACCAAAGGTAAGGTCAATTTTGCGACCCTTCCATTAGGTATAAGGACATGGGAGAAAATGGGCATGTGCCTCTTTTTATAGGTAGACAAATGTCAAAGTTAACGAATTTAAACATCAGAAAACAATTAAAATGACACAATCGGAAAATTGCCACCCAAGACCCCTCGTTATGTCCTTGAGGTCATCTCAGTTCATGGAAGGCCTCCAGAGTTTTTTTTTCAATTAGGTACTTCTGATAGAGACATGCGGCATGCCTGAGCGATGAAAACACCTTAGATGATTTCAGTTTGACGATACAAATCGACTGATATGCATCATGACCTTTACCAGTCAGGTCATGACCTGGACCTGAGCTCAAATTTCCCAAATGACATTTGAATGTCAAATTATAGTTCATTCGACGCATCTCGACGGGAGGAGCACAGTGCTGAAAAACAATGTCGAAACTTTCGTGAGTCAATAATTATGACAGTAAAAAGGTCCTTCATTAAAACAGCTCAGTACAGGGGCGGAGGGGGGTCCACTGTCCACTCCAACCCTCCCCGGCCCGGCACGGGTTAAACAAGTTGTGCTCTGGAGGTTAAGCCGTTGATGTTAGGTCAAGTCTGAGGACATGATAGGAATGTTGAAGAGCTATCGAATGCGCTTTTTCGCGGTGCTGTAGTTCTATTTTCCCCGAGTTATGCGCCGGTTTGTCAATAAATGTTGAAACAGACATTTCACCTTTGATGACCTCTGGTCACCTGATATTTGACATTTGACTTGACCTTACCAAAGTACGGTTAACCAACTAACCCAAGTAGTTTTTGACACTCTTTCGAATGCCGCTTACCGGCTTACCGCGTGTCGCTACGTGGCCCAGTAGCCAAGTTATAGGGGTCGGGAGGGGGGTTCAAACAACCCCAGCCCGGCGCCGGTTAAGGGAAGGCACTATCATTTTGGCCTTTGGGGGCGCTCGCGCTGCAGATATGCTAAGGGGCGACAGCATCATTTTGAGGCGCGCCACCAACTTTTTTTAGGGCACTTAAGCCACTTTGAGGGGCCGGGCACCACCGACACTGTGAGGAGCGTAATCATCACTTTGAGCGTTGAGGGGTGGCACCATTACATTGAAGGGCGCCATGTGCGCAGTGATGTGGGGCAAAATGACAATGAGGAACGCCTCCGGTACTTAAAGAAGAGACGCCAACATTACTTGGGGGGGGGGGCAACATCACTTTTTATTTTGAGGACGCCACCCACATTGTAAGGGGCGGCACTGTAACTTTAAGGACCGCCGCGGATACTTAAAGGGGCGGCTCCATCATATGGAGGGGCGCTACAGATCGTTAATGGGCGGCAATAGGTATGATATTTAGGGACTCCAATACTTCGAAGGGCGCCACCGTTTGTTTGAGGGTGACATCATCACTTTGAGGGGCACCACCGATACTGTTCGGGGCGCCACCGACACTAGGTATAAGGGGCGCCACAGGCACTGCCAGGAGGCGAGCACAGTCATCACTTTGAGCGGCGTTACTATCACATTTAAGGGCCCCATGAGCATATTGGGGGGGGGGCGGCACCATGACGTGGAGGGGCGTTACGGAAGGTTTGAGGGGCGGCAAATGACATTGAGGAGCGCCCCCGACACTTCGAGGGACACTAGCATTTCTTTAAGAGGCGGCATCTTGACTTTTGAGGAGACACCACCGACACTGTAAGGGGCGGCACCATCACTTTGAGGGGCGCCACGGAAGCGGCACCATGATGTGTATGGAGCAGGGCATATTTTAACAAATTTTTACTGCGTCCCAAAGTTGAGCAGAGGGCACGTGCTACGACTAAGGGCACAGGGCAGGGAACAGAGTAGGACACTGAGGAGGGCCTCAGTGCCCTCTTCAGTAGGGCACGGCAGGTTACAGTGCATGGCACAGGACATTTTAGAGAGAAGGGTACAGGTCAGGGCACACAGCAGGGCACAGGTCATGGTACCGGACAGGGCACAGGGCAGGGACGCAGTGGGTCAAATCAGCAGGGGCTACGTCCCAAGGCGAGCGGGCTGCGTCCCAGAATGGGACGCAGTAAGTGCCTTAAAATATGCCCTGATATGGAGGGGCGCTACAGAAAGTTAGAGGGCGGCAACATTGTATTGATGAGTTCCTCCAACACTTTGAAGGGCGCCAGTGACACCGTAAGGGGCTGCACCAGCACTTTTAGGGGCGGCAGCATCATTTTGAGGGGCGCCACCGACTCGTTGACAGGAGACACCATCACATTTAGGGGCGCCACTGGCACTTTGAGGGAGGCACCATCACATTGAGGGGCGCCACCGATACTGAAAGGGGCGGCATCATCTTCTTGAGGGGGCGGCATCATCTGCTTGAGGGGCGACTCCATCACAATGAGCGGCTATGTGGATACCTAGAGGGGCGGCACCATTATATTGGTGGGTTCCTCCGACACTTGGAAGGGCGTCACTGACACTATAAGGGGCGGCGCCAACACTTTAAGGGGCGGCAGCATCATTTTGAGGGGCGCCACCGACTCGTTGGCGGGCAGCACCATCACGTTCAGGGGTGCCACCGGCACTTTAAGGGCGGCACCATCACATTGAGGGGCGGCAGCATCTGCTTGAGGGGCGGCTCCATCACAATGAGGGGCTATGTGGATACCTAGAGGGGCGGCACCATTATATTGGTGGGTTCCTCCGACACTTGGAAGGGCGTCACTGACACTATAAGGGGCGGCGCCAACACTTTAAGGGGCGGCAGCATCATTTTGAGGGGCGCCACCGACTCGTTGGCGGGCAGCACCATCGCGTTCAGGGGCGCAACCGGCACTTTGAGGGCGGCACCATCACATTGAGGGGCGCCACCGATACTGAAAGGGGCGGCGTCATCCTCTTGAGGGGCGGTATCATAACATTGAGGGGCTCCACAGATGTTTTGAAGGGCGGCACCATTACATTGAGTGGGGCTACTAACAGATTTAGGGGCGGCACTATCACATTGAGTTGCGGGATCATCACGACACTTACTATAGACGGCTGCACTTCACTTTAAGAGGCGGCATTATCATTTCGGAGGGCAGCAGCCTCACTATGAATGACGGCACCTAGCCTGCATGTGCGTGCTGCATCCTAGAGGGGGCGGCAACTGGGTCGGCAAACGGCTGTCACTGGGTCGGCATTCTCCGTGACTGGGTCGGCAATTGCCGACCCAGTTAACATGTTAAAATACGCCCTGCACAGCTCAGCTGTCTGAGCCCTGAGGTCAGGGCTGCGACACAGCTCAGCTATCTCGGGTCAGGACCGTGACCTATGAAAGGACCCAGAGAGGGATCTAACATCGGTGACTCCCTGCTTAACCCTAACAATCCCCACTTTTTTGTCCGCGATATAAAAAACACATGCGGTTAGGCTACCTGTGTCGAATTAATTAAAGTTTATTATGTCAAAGTTTCAAAACATCAATCCGGTCTGCATGTCTGACTGCTCGCAGAACGGTTCTAGAGGCAGTGTCAGCGCGCGCGGAACGGTCCTCAGATGTGTCCACTTTCAAGCCCGGAACGGTCCTACTGCGCCACCAGACTCCTCTCCCTCTCCCCTCCCCCCTGTCCGCTGGTCTATGTCAGACACCAGTACACCACTGACCTCCCCTACCCTCCCCTGACCTTCTCAGGTGCCAGCTGAGACGCTGGTCGGCCTACAGAACCTGCTTGTTGTTGTTGTTGTTTCTCCCTCTGCTCCTCACGGGAGCATAGCCAGGCGGCTCTGGAAGCGTCTGGCGGCGGCCGCCAGGGCCGCCACCACTGAGGTCTCCCGGACCTCCTCCAGCCTGGGATGGATGTGACCCAGGGTTGAATGTCTCAGTCGCATCAGCGCCGGACATCTCAGCAGCACGTGTGCCGGCGTGTCAGGCTCCTCATTGCACAGGGGGCAGCGGGCCGCCACACAGCCCTCGTCGCGGCAGCCCTCACATCCCACAGAGGGAACGGCCCCGATCCTGTGCAGGTAGGCCCTGGAGCCCGACCAGTGCCCGGCTCGCAGCTGTTGGACGTCCACCGCGCGCTCCCGGTCCAGCCCCGCCACCGGTGGGGGGAATCGGCCCCCCATCAGCGACCGGAACCAGCCGGGGGGCCAGGCCCGGACCGTGTCGTCGCGGGCGGCCCTAGCCACCGCTCGGGTGATTGTCCTGATGTCTGCAGGCACGCTGTCTTGTGGTAGTTCCGCGGCCTCTCGGGCCACTCTGTCGGCTCGCTCATTACCCTCCACACCACAGTGCGAGGGGACCCACTGGACGTGGATCTTCCGGCCATTATCCGAGAGGGCGAACATGGCTCTCCAAGCCGCTACCCCCAGCGGGGAGGTCTGGGCGGCCGGGCCGCTGCGCAGGGTCGCCACTGCTGAGAGGCTATCCGTGCAGACCACGATAGGCAGGTCCTGGTCTCTGTCTCTTTGGGTTAGGGTCTCCAGGCCGGTCACCAGCGCTACCATCTCTGCGCGGTAACTGGAACATAGCTGTCCGGCCGGGACCCGCAGCTCCTCGGTCTCTTCATCCGGCCAGACCAGCACGGCCCCAGCTCCGCCCCTCGAGACTCCGCCCGCCGCGGACCCGTCCGTCCACAGCCAGACGGCGCACTGCGGCAGGGACGCGAGGTGCAGGGCGGCCGCCGCCGTGGCGCCGGCCCGGAGGGGGCCCACGTCCATCCGGAAGGTGTACAGAACCTGCTCGTTCACCTGCGGGACGCGTCGGCAGAGAACGCGCACTTCTACCAGTACCGACTCTGGGACGCTAAGAGGGTCAAGGTGGAGACCGCCCAGAACAGGGTATGTAACACAGACCGTAACACAAACCGTAATGCAGGTCGTTACACAGGGCGTAAAATAGATTGAACACAGACCGTAACATAGATCGAACACAGACCGTAACACTGGCTGCGTACGTGCGGGCACACGGCCGGCCGGAACTGGGCTGGACCCATTGGGCAATGAACAGGTGCTTTCTGTGACAGCGTCACCGCTGCAGGTCAGTCAGGGACACACAGACACTGCACCCGGCGCCCTTGTGCATGGTACAGGGCTCGCGGGTTTTAGCGGTAGGTTTTGCACCTAGAAAATTTAGTGTACTTCAGGCTATATCTTCGTCGTCTTAAGCTTTTAAGTGTTGAAGATGCTATCGACTTGTTGGGCAACAAGCCGGCCATGATCGTGTAAAATGGCTTCATCGTAGATCGATTAGTTTCTGAGATATAACCGGAAATCTAAAAGTGCAAATCCTACCGCTTAATCTCGCGAGACCTGTACCTGAGCCCTGAGCGCGCCCATGTGTCGCCCCAAGGGCGTGTCGCCGGACGGTTCTGTGTGTCGGACTGAAACCTGAACCTGCCTGAGTGTTATGCTATGACTCCCCAGGGCGTGTCGCCGGATGGGGCGGCCGGCTACCGGGACGGGCTGCGGCGGGCCACCAACGGCCACCCGCTCTCCGCCGAGGAGGTACAGAAGGTCGTCAGCCGGGTGAACCAGCTCTCCAGCTAGCGGCGCAGAGGTCAGTCACCGCACCGGGCGTATTGCACGGGGACCCTAACAGGCGCCTCACTCCTTTCCCTCATCTCAGTTGTTCTTTCATTTTTTTATTATTATAAATAATGGAGATAGACCAGAGCATTTTCGGTTCATTTATTAGGGTCATGTTACTCCAACGGTGTTGCGTTGTCGGCACAGTCCTGGCTGGTCTGTGTGCTGCGGCGATGCTCTGCTATCCGGTGACCCAATGCCACTGTCCGCTGACCGAGTGTCGGCTCTCTGCTGACCGTGTAACGTCTGTCCGTCAGGGTGGTGGCCCTGAACGCCTGTCTGACGGCGCCGGAGGCCAGCGCCGGCCGGCTGCTGTCACTGCTGGACCAGCTGCGGCCGCCGGACGCCGGAGCGCTGCCCGACTGGGGTTTACATCCTGGTACGTTACTGGGAGCGGCACGGTGTGTGTTGGGTGCTTCTGACGGTCAGTTGTAGTAACTGTTAGTTCCTCTACTGGCCACCAGGTGAAAAGCGTAATAGCTGTACAGCAATGTAGAGTTGCTTCAGCTTTGGAGTAAACTTTCTCCTCTTCCGCTCACCATTCACCACCAGAGTCAGCAGCGTCTCGGCTGGCGGTCCAGTCAGTCAGGGCGAGTGTCTTCACTCGCCACAGCGGGCCGGACCCATTACAGGGCAGCAGAGTTATCAGTTACCAAGCCTTGGCCTATAAAGAAAACCAAGAAATAGTAGCAATTGCATATATGTAATGATTCTACTCTATTACGATTGAGCTAGCGAAGCGTATTCCTGTAACGTTTTTAATAGGCTTGTAAGTCAGCAACCGCTGGGCTGATTGAACTGCGTTACTCTTTGTTGCGCGTAATCCTATCCCTTCCATCTCGTTATTGACTACAATTGATGTATCTTGGTGAGTTATTGACTACAACTGATGTATCGTGGTGAGCGTCGTGACACGTGCGACGTGAAGGGCCAAGAGTGTTCGTTATTCTGCTGCAGTAGCGATTTTGGGTTGCTCATATATCTTGAACCCTGAACTGCCACGCCGATTGCGCTCAAATTTGGTACACTGTTTGGGACTGGTTGATAGGGATGTGTTTTTTATAACTCGCATGTGTTTTTTTATAGCGCGGAGAAAAAAGTAGGGATTGTTAGGGTTAAGCAGGGAGTCACCGATGTTAGATCCCTCTCTGGGTCTTTTCATAGGGGGTCACGGTCCTGACCCGAGATAGCTGAGCTGTGTCGCTGCCCTGACCTCAGACAGCTGAGCTGTGCACGCCGTCGGCTCGGCCGTCAGTCGCCACAGCCAGTGACCCCAGTGTCCAAACAGCTCCAAACAATATCCGGCCCTGTATAGCAGGATAAGCCATCAGAGGCGGGACTGATCACCGGGACGGGCTGCATGGTACAGGACGGGCTGGGAACACGTCAACTCCAGCATGACGTGTTCCCAGTGTACCTGCATGTAGTTTCTTTATTCCTCAACAATTTTCATCCCCTTGGCGTTAGTGTTTCGCGTCCCTCCATTGATCACTCCCGCCTCTGATGGCTTATCCTGCTATACTGGGCCGGATATTGTTTGGAGCTGTTTGGACACTGGCGTCAGCGGCTGTGGCGACTGACGGCCGAGCCGACGGCGTGCACAGCTCAGCTGTCTGAGGTCAGGGCTGCGACACAGCTCAGCTATCTCGGCTCAGGACCGTGACCTATGAAAGGACCCAGAAAGGGATCTAACATCGGTGACTCCCTGCTTAACCCTAACAATCCCCACTTTTTTGTCCGCGATATAAAAAACACATGCGGTTAGGCTACCTGTGTCGAATTAATTAAAGTTTATTATGTCAAAGTTTCAAAACATCAATCCGGTCTGCATGTGTCACGGCTGTCGCCCCTCCGACTCGCGGACACGCCCGGTCTCGATCGAATCCTGTATTCAACTCCCGGCCGGCCCCAGACCCAGGTCACTGGGCCGCCGGCCAGAGGCGCGCTCAGGTCAATACGGGGGGAAGGCCTGACTTGCCTGACATTACCCCCTCCCACGTATGCAGACACGTGTAACCAAACAGGACATACACTCGGCTTATCACTAGCAGATCGAGTCAACAGAACAACAGCACTCAGGTACATCGCCATGGTTAACCAAACACGTTGCGGGCATGTGACACTTTCAAATGCTTCATGTGAACACGTCTCATCCGTCCCGCCTTCTCCAGAACGTCGACGTGCCTACGGCCGTGTAGCGCCACGACGGTGTACGGCCCCAGCCAAGGAGGGCACATCTTTGTACGCGCCCCCACATTACGCAGCCACACTTGTTGCCCGGGGCCCAGCGAGGGTTCTTTTACATGATGTCGCCTGTCGTATTGGTTTTTGTACGAGTCAGCACTGCGATCGCGCTGGCGCCTAGCATTCTCGAACACGGAGGACAAAAGACGAAGCTTTTCCGTCACATAGTTATGCGAGTAGCGGTTCCTCGGAGTCTGTGACAACGCATCTAACGTGCAGTGTGGGTGACGTAAGAAATACACGAAAAATGGGGACAGCCCTGTGGTGCTGGACAGCTCATTATTCAAGGAAAATGTGATGCCAGGTAGACGCTCTTCCCAATCAGCGCCCAAAACATCTGAGCTCGCCCTCAGCCGCCGTTTGACATCTAAGTGCTTTCTTTCTATTTTGCCCACCGCCTCGTGATGGTAGCCGACGCTGGCTCGAGTCTGTGTCCCAAAGTGTTCACACAACTCCATCACCTGGGCACTTTTAACGAGATTGGAGCCTGCGTCACTTTCAATTACCTCTGGGGTCCGAATAATAGGAAGTGTTCGGACAATTTCTGGGCCACGTGATTAGTACTTCCTGAGTCTAAGGCATAACACCACAGGAAACCAGAAAATTTGTCAACACAAGTCAAGACCAACGATCGGCCAGCGACGACACTTTTAGGCATGGAAACAATGCTCGGGGTTACATGAGCAGAGTTAATACGCATTACAAACGGACTACAATGGTGAGCGAATAGGAAAATCCGTTCCTGATACGCATTTACTTGCTCATGTAACCCCGGTAAATGTCAATAACGAGGATCTGGTTTGGCCAGTCAGAATCAGAATCAGAATATATTTCATAACGAATCCATCGAATATGGTTTTTCATCGTCACACGTCAAAGGTTGAAAACATACGAGGTAAAATACATTCAGGCCAATACAATACACCGCGATACTTGATCAGGTCAGTCGGCATGCTGTGGAAGCAATGGTGGGCTTTGTGCTGTCGATCCCTTCCTTTGGGCACAGCGATCACAAGATCGAACGTAGTCCACACAGTCCGCTCGCATGCCCGGGTACCACGCGTGTCGAGCTATCAGATTGTACATTTTGGCGGGTCCGCCGTGCGCGTGATCTGATGTGTCGTGGTGTGTGTACAATAGCTCGTACCTTTTCGACAGGGGCCAAACTACCTGAGAGGCCCCGTCCTCGCTCGAATGGCGATAGATCAGCCCTTCATGCAAGCGGAAGTCCGTTGCGGGCTGCCCCTTTAGATACGGTGGGGCGTACCGTGGCCATCTACCGTGGTTTAAACGGTGAGCGATGGCCCGGCAGTTACGATCGTGGCGCTGATACCATCTGAGGGTGTCCGGCTTGAGAGGCAACTGTACGAGACGGTCAGCAGCCGTGACGTTTACCTCCCGAGCCCCCTCACTGCCGTGGAGCCGGCCGCCAGACGAGCGGGCGGCGGTCGGCCCCTCCGATTGGGCGGTCGGCCCCTCCAACGAGCGGGCGGCGGGCGGCCCCTCCGACGAGTGGGCGGCGGACGGCCCCTCCGACGAGTGGGCGGCGGACGGCCCCTCCGACGAGTGGGCGGCAGACGGCCCCTCCGACGAGTGGGCGGCGGGCGGCCCCTCCAACGAGCGGGCGGCGGGCGGCCCCTCCGACGAGTGGGCGGCGGACGGCCCCTCCGACGAGTGGGCGGCGGGCGGCCCCTCAGTCGAATCCTGATCCCGATCACCGTCCCGCCTTCTCCAGAACGTCGACGTGCCTACGGCCGTGTAGCGCCACGACGGTGTACGGCCCCAGCCAAGGAGGGCACATCTTTGTACGCGCCCCCACATTCCATGTGATCCATGTGAATTCAACATCTGCCAGATATCTGAAAACTTTTTTTTTCATATTCGCTGAAGTTTATTGAACACGGCACACTTCACAGCTT